TATACTTAGATTCAGATACATACTGACGGCCTCCACACGCCATCACCTGATGATGATCAGAGAATTGCCAATCGAAACATGAACTTATTCAAAGGATGAGTGTATAGTCTGAATAAACAAACTCTTTACAATCTTTCAGGTACATACAGGCAGGTAATTCTCTTCATATTTAGTACTTGCGGTTATGTGTATTTTTAAAAAAAAAAAAAAAAAAAAAAAAAGAAGTGATTTTTATATTCGCTTTCTAAAATCTTTTAAACTTTGGTCTCTACAAGATGTGGCTTCAGTACTGAAATGGTGTGTTCTTGTTTTACAGAACAATGTGGAAGATGCCCAGGAAGCATTTGACGCGTTCTTTGCACACTATCCATACTGTTATGGCTACTGGAAGAAGTATGCTGACATCTTAAAGAAGAATGGTGACGTAGAGAAAGCGATTGAGGTAAGCAGACGATTACATTCACTTTTTATTGAAACTGGAAATTGCAATGAGTGGGAAGAACAAAAGAGAGATGCTTATGTTGATCTAACTCGACAATATTATATTTTAAATATATCTTATTTAAAAATATCAATGGCATTCTTTTCTTGAGGCTATCTGAAACAAATTTTCAATCATTGTGTAAGAGACAAAGGCATTTAACAATGGTAGCTTCATTTAGTGTGGGGGTGGAGAACACTTGTCTGGAACAGAAGAGGTATTTAGTCATGTGATTATCACAAAAGCATGCTGGGAGGCAACATTCAGTTAAAAGAAAAAAAAACAATCTACCAGTGCTGTGGTGTGATAGTGAAAAATATGTCTAATTTTAAAGGCAAATTTTCTTTGGCATTGGCGATGTAAATTTTTAAATATTTTTCTAGGAAAGCTAATTTGTTTATTTATTTTTCTTTTTATTTATTTTATTTTAAATTAAAAAAAAATGGTTGAAAATTGAAATTAATATTAAGAAAAATAATTGTATCATAAGCTTTATTCTTAGGTCCAAATTTTTGTTGACCTCATCTTTGATCAAGATTCTAACTCCACCACTCTGAAAGCTAATCCAAGCTATTATTATTTTTTTCTGATCTTATTGAAATTTCATAATTGTCAGTTTTCTTTATAGCTCTTTTTTTTTTTTTTTTAAGCTGTAAAGAGAACTGTCAATTTTTTAATAAGATGTTTATCTTGACCATATGCCAAATCAGTCATTTCTTGCCATTTAAATGTTATTTATCCAATTTACTAATATTAAAATAAAATTTTCTGTTACTTCCTATTTTGATTAGATTGAATTATTTTGGTGAATTCTTTTTTGAGTTTCAGATCATAGTGCTGCTATTTTCATCTTGATAAGTATACTCCCTGATCCAAAATAGTTGTTACATTTGAATACACATTGCGTACATAAGATGTAACAACTATTATGGGACAATGATAGTATTATTTTAATCAAAACTTTTCTTAAAATAGATTTTTTAATGTATTTCTAAACATGAATTTTTACTTGAAAATTTGTGTATGATAATGTGCTGAAAAGTTCTTGGCCTGACTCGCATCCCAAAATCTAAATTCTTTTCTCTTTTGAAGTGCTTCTTGGTTGGCTGAGGACTTTTCAGCACTTGCTTATATATTGAATGTTTAGCCAAAATAAGACTGTTTCATTACTATGATGTGGAAAATAAACTTTATGCAAAATATACTACTTATAATAGAAGCAAAAAAAACAAAAACAAAACAAACTTTAAATGACCAGCAACAAAATAATTCTTAACTTTTGAATCTTCATATAAAAGCTGTTTTCTAAAATTTTCATTACTTGCTGATCTTTGAAATTTCTTTCAATGCAGAGGTGGTTCTCTGCAGATTACTATCAGTGGTGTTTTTTTTTTTTAATGCTTGTTGTAAACACGGAATTTTTACTCTGCACCTTCTCTCACCTTGTTTGCTTTATTCTTGTTTGCTCTTGCCTTCCCACCCCCCACAACTCTCAATTTCTTTACTTGCAATATCAATTAATGCATAAAGTAAAGACATAACCAGGTGTCTGGATATATAGAGGCAAAATTTTATGTAGCCAGTGAAACACAACACTGCTACTAGATAGATCTATGTATGTGCTATTGTTTATCAGAGAAACATTTAGATATTTAATTATGACTGAAAAAGATAACCTATCTAGGGCAATTGGTCCTTAGTCTCCTTCAGAGTACTCCAGTTGGGACCTCACATACCGAAAAAAAAAAAACAAAAAAAACAGCTTCTCATTCTACTTTTCAAAACAATCTGCAAAACCTTCAGATGTATTGTCTTGCTCTCTTTAATCTTCTTCATGGCCTGAAATCTCTTTTCCAATGTCAATTTATTATTTTTGGGCAAAGCCAGAAGTTGCAGGCAGCTAAAATCCAATATGTTAGGGGTCTCTATTACTGGGAGGATGCAATGTTCTATACCAAAAGACCCTGTACAAGACAGAATGGATATGTGCCTCTCCCCTTTTTGGTTGATACTAATGTGTTAGCCACATAGTACACAAAATCACTTAGTGGCGTCTTATGGCTGCCTAACTAACCCAATATGAGTGTTTACACGTGTGCAATAAGGGTTTGTTTTTTTTTTTTTTTTTTTTTTTTTTTATTTTTTTTTTTTTTTTTTTTTTTTTTTTCATATCAATTTAAAATTTATATCAAGTCTGTACAACGAGTTATCTAGATATTTAGTATGGATGAATACTTTCTGAACTGACTTTTTTATATGTGATAGTAATGAAATCAGTTCCAGTAATATCAAATTGAATGATATGAAGGATTGGCTTACAAAACAGAAAAAATACTTTCATGAATATATCCAGAAACAGGGACATTTCATAAATCGAATTGCAAAACAAAGAACATCATTTTTGTTGTTACTCTAATAGTAAAGCAATTTTTGGGTACAGTGGGTTGAATTTGTAGATTTTTTTTTTTTTTTTCTCTTTTTTATTTTTTTTTTTCTCCTTTTTTTTTCCCTTTTTTTTTTTTTTTTTCTTTATTTAATTACTGGAGGAATTATTGTTCAAACATTTGTTTACAAAATCTCTTGGTATGAACGCTTTATTTCAAAGTTTGCAAAATATGATGCATTAATCCTGTAGGCATTTCTTATATTTAGTTTCCACTGAATTTAAAACCTATTTTAGCTTGGGTTGAGACTTGAATTCACTGGTTTGTTACTTCTAATTTTTGACTAATATTCTCAACATTTTTTTTTTTTTTTTTTTTTTTGTATTTTGAGTGTTGGTCTCTAGTCACCTTCAATTTGTCTTAGGAAATAGGTATCGACTCATTTTAGGTCTATGAGAAAAAAAAAAAAACATGCACTTAAGAGACAGCTATTTTAAAATAACCAATGGTGCCCTATATAAATGCAAATAATGGCAAAAGATTGTGAAATTTGATTTTCAAAATTTTACTTTTTTTTTTTTTTTTTTTTTTTCTGCTGTGCATGTATTTTTTTAAAATTCTGAATCAAATACAATTAAAAATTCTCAGTAACCATGGCTAAAAAATATTGTAAATCTTCTTGTCTTCTTTTCAGTGTAATATTGTATTTTTATTAAAAAATATCCTTTGATTCTGACATTCTCTTTTAACATGAAATGTCTGACTGCTTGAAATGGTGTTTCTGTCTTTGTGGGCTTTACAAATATCTTTGTAAGGTGGCCATGTTGAATTAATTTCTAGTTTTTCAAACTTTGAGATTTAACCAGTAGGAATTTGTTTCTACGTCTTCTTACTCTAGCCAATTTTTTTTTTTTAAACATATTTTAATCTTTACTAGCATGTCCAAAATTTAATTAAAAAATCTTTTTTTTTTTTTTTTTTTTTTTCTTATGTTAAATTCTCTGTTTAAAAATCTTATAAAAATTAAATATCTTTTTCGAAAGTTATTTTAGGAAAATTAGAAACTTTAAAGTTTACTTAATGTAATTGAAAACAAACATTACTTAATTTTTTAGCAGAAAAAATTTAGTTGAAAATAAGTTACTTTGGGATATGAATTGACAATTACATCGATTAATTACAGCTTATGTCGGGGTAATTTATCGGATAGAAGTGACAATTTTTTTAAAATTTTAAGTTAACCAATTTATTTAACTACACAATTTTTTAAAATTAAATACTTTCAATAATCTTTTATTGATTTTTATTTATATATATATATATATATATATATATTCCTTTATTATAATTTTATCATACAGACAAAACCATTTTACTCACTACAAAGATGCAACTTGGTTTCAGTGCATTTCAACTGCACTTTGGCAAGTGAGAATTGAAAATGGTTATGAACAATCCTGCTTATAGGCAAGCCATGTGTGAAAGATCACATCCTTTTTTTCCATTTGTTTGAGACGAAAAAAATATATATATATAGGTGACGGAGTGAAACAATAGTGCTTGTTGATAGCAGTTTGGTGATGAATGGATTGAGTGTTTAATGTTGACTGGTCTGTGGAAATTTTCCTGCTGATAAACACCGGTCAAAAGTCCAGGCCACAGCTTGTCTACAAGCAGGATTGTTCATAACCATTTTCGATTCTCACCCATCGAAGTGCAGTTGAAATGCACTGAAACCAAGTTGCATCTTTGTAGTGAGTTTTGTCTATGATAAAATTATGATAAAGGAATAATTATCGCTCTACTATCGGTATCAAGCCCTCTTTTGGATTAATGCTGTCAATGTTGGAATTTATATATTACTTTCCTTCTGTTTGCATTGGAGATTTTATTTATTTTTCTATATATATATATATATATATATACACATACTTTAGCTTTTTAGTTATCTTACATTTGAAGATTTCTGGAAAAATAAATTTAAAATTTTATAACTGAGCAGGATGATACATAAGAGAGGTACCTAATTTTTACATAATCTCTTAGGAAATGAAATATGTTATTTTTATTTTTTATATTATGTCAGTCATGAAATTTTTTTCATAACTGAGATATTAAAATTAATAACAATATCCACTAAAAATAGAAGTGTAAAAATAAAGAACTTATGCAATTGATTTTTGAAAATGTAACAATGGTCAAAAAAATTATCAGTCATAGAATTCAAGACGTCATCAGGAATATTTGGCAATTATTGTGAATGGTGGTTTGTTTCCTTGATTAGAACGAGTTCATGACCTTGTAGTTGTTAGTTTTGTATTTTCTTGCCTAGGTGATGAGAAAGAAAGAAGCAATATGAGGGCATTTCTTTTAGCTGCTTTTTTCTCAACAAGAAAAGAGGAAAAGCAAAGATAAGACAAACATCTCCATCAAAGAAAAAATAATTCATACTAATTGAATTTGTAGTTGAAAGGGAAATAATAAATTTTACAGTAATAAAATACATTTTAGTAGAATCTTGAAAAAATTTATAAGTGTCTTTTGAACAATTGAAGAAATGTTATTCACATATCAATT